CCCAAAGGGGCATGGGAATTGGGGGGGGGGAGAAACATCTAGAGGAGCTGGGGGAAAAGCAACACACAGAGGGGCTGGGAGGAAAGAGACACAAAGGGACTTAAGGGAGAGAAAGAGACAAGGTGCTGGGGAAGTGACACAAAGGGGCTGGGGCTCAAAGAGACATACAAAGGAGCTGGTAAAGAGACACACAGAACTGCTGATGGGAGAAAGACACACAAAGGAGTTGGGGGAGTAAAAGACACACAAAGGGCTGGGGGGAAGTAAGGGACACATAAAAGGGGTTAGGGAGAAAGTAAGAGAGTCATAAATGGGCTGTAGGATATAGGGAAAAAACTACAGTAGTAGAATATACTGCATGCATTTGGACATAAGTAACCTTAGCTTGTGTATAATAGAATGGATTTATTGCATTAACAATGTGCTTGGTTCATTTCCCCTGCTCTTTATCCCAGCTAACACGTCTGCTTGGGTGTCTTAAAAGTCTAAAGTAGTCATGCACTTCTAGAACTGAAAAACTGTTGGGCAGATACCCTGGTTTGAGTGAGTATTTCAAAATTTTGCTTAGCTGCTATTTCCCGATGCATGACTGCTGACCCATATTCCATCCCCACCATTGCCCCCAAATAATACACTGGACACCTTTTAGTGGATAAGGGCAACGGCCACAGCTTTATTAAACAGTAAACTTAATTGTTAATTCCTGCCAGCTGTTGGGTGAGGACCCAACAGGCAGTTCTCCTCCTTTGTTGTCCATGAGCCCAACACAGCCGTCGCTAGCCATCAGCCCTGCGCCGACCGTCGTCTCCCCAATGTGACCTTGCGTCATACTCCTTTCCTTTTTGATTCCGCTGTCCAGGGAAAACCGCCACCGCGAAGCCGACCTGCCGCAGACTGACCTGCGCCGGCTTCGCGCCCCCCCGGAGACAGCGCCACCTCAATGCCCGACTGTAGCCCCACATTAAAAATGTTCAGCCCAATGGGGGTCAAATGAACCCCATCCTGACGCATCACATCTGAATTATTCCCCTCCAACTCAAAGTGCCATACCACTATTCCGCCCAAACTACGCACAAAGCGTGAAATAGCAACATTAATCTTGCGCCTACAGCGTTCAAATGCCTTCCCATAACCTCCCACCTGCCACACTGGACGGGGCACTATCTCCGACCAAATCAACGTCAAGTCACGAAAAAGGCAAAACAGCACGCTAGATCATGACGCATGTCGTGAATGAGATCCACCGACCGCCGTCGGCCAACATCATTACCGCCTGCGTGCAATATCAGCGTCACTGGGCCCGTGACGCAGCGACTCAGCTGCTCGCACTCCCTGTACACTTGATCCCAACGTAACCCCCTCAATCCCCGCCAACGTACCCTAACGTCCTGAAACGGGAACCCCAAATTACGGCCATGAGATCTTTCTTCCGCCCTCCTAGCTGCCCAGTAAATATAAGAATGCCCCAGGATCCACACATAACGAAGAACTTGGCCTACAAAACAAGGAATAACGGTTAAACTTAATTGTTTACAGAGGCATACCATCACAGCCTAAAAAGCCTAAGAGCTGACACTGAACTCACCAGCTCACCGATACGCAGCGCCCCAAAAAACCACAAGGAGAATGCCACCCAAAACAAAAGTACCTCATACGCAGAGCTACACACATCTGGAAGAACTTCCAACAGTTGCAACAGCATGGCCCCCGAGATCGGTCGCCGTTTGTCAGGAACGCGGCGCTTTTTCCACCCTTTCAAAATACGGGAAACGCAGAAAGCCTTGGTGACATCCGACCATCCTAAAAAATGAAATAAAAAAGAGAGAGCAGCCAGTGATTGTTCAGCTGCTGCAGCCGACCTACCTGCGGCACACAAAGACTCCATGAACGACAGCGTAAGGGTCAATCTGCCGGAGTCTGACGCCACCTCCCCGTTCCTACCCATGGCCCACCAGCGATCCCATACCGCGGAGTATGCCTTCCAAGAAGACTCCGATAAGGACCCCCGGATCAATCGCCTCAGATGTCCAAAACCAGGTCCCACAAGTAAGGCGGACACGGGGTTCCCGTCGGCGCCGCCTCCGGAGCCGCCTCCCGAAAACGGTCCAAGTGAAACCGAGAAAGAGAGTCAGCAATGACATTGTCTGAACATGCCTGGCTACCAACCACAAATTACATTGAAGACAGAGTAGCACTAGATGCCTGAGTAATGCCAGAACCGGAGGGGACCCAGACGTGGAACGATTGATCACCTGGACCACATGTTGTCCGTGTGAACAATCACCTTCCTGTGTGCCAAGCCTGAACCCCATAATTCTACTGCAACCACAATGGGAAACAATTCAAGAAACGCCAGGTTACCCATCAGCTCCGAACCTCGCCAGGTGGACGGCCACTCCGCCGCGCACCACTGCCCCCGAAAATAGGCCCCACACCATACGGA